TGATCAATCTAATAAACTTAAACCTACACCATCCTCCCTATTCTGGTATTTTAAAGAGTACTTAGCATAAATATTAAGCAACCTAACTAATAGGGTTCCAACTCCCAGCAACAACAAAAATAAATAAATAAAAAATAGGGAACCACCCCTCACGCTCCACCTCATGATGCTTAATCGACGTAATCAACCTTAATTTGATGCAGTGTGAAAAAAAATGCACAGAAATCAATTATTTTTCAAGAAATATTAAATAGATTCAACATCTTTCTTCAACAAAATTGCAGACTGCACAGATGGTACCTTCCCAAAGGAAAAAGTACTATAGCTTACTAGGGTATATATATTAGACTTAATAGTCACTATATACAGTAATTGACTTCTATTCATTTTAGATCAAATTAAAACTTTGGGTGTCAGATAATTATTTATTAAAAGCTCGACATTTTAAATGAGAATAAGAAAGAAAAGGATGTCTTTGTGCCCCCTTTTCCCTGTTAATGCCCTATCGGCCCCCCTGGCTAAACTTTGCTAGATCCGCCCCTGCACAGTTACCAGCGTCAGCTACATAGAAAAAGATCCTGGTGTAGAAAGTAAATACATTCTAACAACAGCTGATCAAGCTTAAACGTGCTGCTGTTGTTCAGCCGCTGGTTTCCTCTTTCTGGTGCAAAGTGGGCCAAAAGCAAACAAGAGAGACAGGCTCGCGACAGAAAAGCCGATCAGCTGATTGTTAAGCAGTTTCATGATTGAAGTAGCAGCCGCTCCATATATCGTTTGTTAAGCTTAACGCAGGAATGCTTTACAAACATTCAGAGATGGACTTACACACTTGCTTTACTTCTCTCGGGATAACTTTGTCGGAGATGAAATGCTGGGTTGCTAGCAAAGCTCCAAATGCTATCCAGACCACCGACAGGTCCTGCATGCCACAGCCGCTCTATCACGTGATGCATACTGCTCCGACTGCTAACGTTCTGAGGCGAGTTACGGCGTGTTGCAAGTTTTGTGAGGTGCTTTCGTGATATTTAATGGATCGGATTACATTTTTTATTTTTCTCCGATATCCGATCCAGTAATTTAGGTCAGTATCGGACCGATACCGATACGTAATATCGGATCGGTCCATCTCTAGTAATGACACAGTGAAACAGGAAAGTATTGAACAAAAATGTATTTAATACTTTGTACAGAAGCCTATTGATGAGGACACGTCCTGTATAGAGAAACTAGTCACATGACTTTGGCCCATTCTTCCACATAAACAGTGCTCCATAACCTGCTCCATAAGCCCCTACTTTGAACTCTGACCTTTAGCTCTTTCCACAGATGTCAGATTAGAGTCAGGCGATTGGCTGCGCCAGCTTTATTTTCTTAACCAATTCAGAGTCTCCTTGGCCGTGTGTTTGGGATCATTGTCTTCATTTCATCTTCATCATCCTGGTAGCAGAAGGTCTCGGTACGTCTTCCATTCATCCTTCCTTCAGTTACATGAAGCGTGCCCAGAGCGTGCTGGTCCTTCCTCCAGACGTGTCTCATTTGACCAGTTATTCACATCCATTGCTGATACGGTTGAGAACAAAAAGCATCAATGAACCTGATGGATGCACAAATGCTGTGAAATGTCACGTTCCAATTAGCTTCACCATGATGTCTGTAGTTAATGGCATTGACAGTGAGGCGTTATGGTTAATCTGACAGTGTTTATATATATTTAGGTCCCTTATAGCAGACGTGGAGCTTCAGAGCTGCCGTCTTACTGCTAACAGGGTTCATTACCCTGTGTTTTACTGTGCCCTCTGGCCACAGCACAATCATTGATCCACAGCAGCTGTTAACGGCTCTCTGCTCACTGTCAGAGTGTCTGCATATGGACCAGGGCTCAAACTGGTTAGGCCTGTGACTTTTACTGGAAAATACCCACAGAGTGTGACGGTGGCACAGGGCAAGTGAGAGCTTGCTATAACCTGCATACTGTTTTTTTTCTTGTTATGTGCTTTTCCTTGTTTATATTTTTGATCCAGTTTCTCCGAGCTAATAATCGCTGACCCTGTTCTTAAGCCTGGTGAAACATCTCCACACCCACTGTGGTAATTTAACGGGAGTCGATCCAGGTCAGCAGGTATCCTGAAGTGGCCGATAATCCTGTGAGACAGGGTAACACTGAACGACCTGTGACATGAAGGTAGAGGGTTACTCGCCACCCCTGCAGAAATGAATATATTCAGGTCTATATTTGTACACATGCATTACTTACCCTTGGTATTCAAGTAGCTCTGATGATGTGTTAGCTTAACAGCGATCCAACATTTGTTCCTGCTTGGTTAGATTTGAACTTTTTCCAGAGTGTGCAGCAGCATGTGCAATGCTTAGCAATGAAAGTCGTTGTTACTTCTCATCGGGTGAACACATACAGATCTAGCTGGTCTGAATTTTCTTTGATTGAAATACAGCCAACAAGGAGGAGTCATTTAATAATCATAAACATGATATATATTTATATTAACAAAGCATTTTTATATCTAAGTAATTGAGCAATGACAGGTAAAGTGAGTCAGGGAAAAGAAAACGCGTTTGTAGCATCGAGTAACACAAAAGTACAAAGTTGCGAAAGCGAGTGAGAATTAAAGAATTTGAAGAAAAGCTCTCTGGAGCATGTGCAGACTGATATTACTAGATAGTACTAGACCACATTTATTTCAAGGCTTTCATAACATTTTTAAAGTGAAATAATAATAAAATTTTGTAATTTCTAAAAATATGAAATTGTAAAGTTTTTCACAGGCCCATAAAAAAAGTACATGGACCAGTAAAACTGAGGCCATGAGGGTGTTGGGTGGATTTTAACATGTGCACCTTCATAACGTCTCGTTGCCTCCTATTAATGTCAGAAACAACACAGAGCATTTTTTAAGCCTTAGTGCAGTTTGCATATTTATCTTATTTACTCTGTATTTGACTGTACTTAAAATTATAGATTTTTTTTCAAGAAAATGTTTTCTTTAGATAATGACACTTTAATGTAGCACGTAAATACAAATGTGGTAGTTAAACATTAAAACATTCTTCATTTTGTCTTTTTGCTTTTGTATAATCACTCGATTAACTAATAGAGTAATTGATAGATTATTACAGCCCTACACACTATGTGGACAAAGTTTTTGTCATATATTTGAGTTTCTGTTCTGCTTCTTCAACACACGTTTTACTTTTTTCAGTTCTTAATGTTTTGTCTTTTGGGTTGTGTGCAGCTGAACTGCTTTGAGTCCCAGAGTGGGAGCGAGGACTAAATAATAAGAGAATAAAATAAATGTAAATAAAAAGAACATTCAGGTTTTTTAACCATATATTAGATTTTATAGAGTATCGTGGATTTGTTCTCTTCACCTCTACTGTAGACACTGAAGGAAGTAAGAAGCTGCACCGTGTGTCCTGACGAGGAAATCCAATCACATTTCAGCTCAGCTGAATATGAGCTGATTCCCCAGAGAGGACAGAGAAAACAGCAGTGTTTGAAGAGAGCTGGTCTGAGTCAGCTTTGACAAAAGGTTTCAGTTCTTATCATGGTGACGTGCTGGGCCGCCTCCTCGCTGTGGAGCGTTTCTGCTTAATGCCAGGCTGAAACACAGCAGGACACTTTCTAATGTGAAATCAGTCTGACTCTGCTAACAAGGTCAGCAGAGTTTGGGCTGGTGAGGTTTTCTTGGGTAAGGTTAGGGAATAACTAGCCGACTAATCATCGGTGTTGTCACTACCTGGTACCAGGCTTACTAGTCATTTAATCTATTTCTTAACTAAACTGAAAGAGATTTTACAAAAACTCCACACCCACACAGTGACGGTGTCCTGTTCTCACCAGCCGAGATCTTTGATTTAGGCTTCAGCAGGAAATATTTGTAGACCTACGACCTGCTTGTGCTGGTGTGTTTGGTGCTAATTACTGTACCGTGTGTTTGTGTCCCAGTTAATTTGCTGACATTTCTGAGTCCTTATATTGGTGACTGTTATCGTCTCACTCATAAATGAGGAAACTTGCATCTAAAAATTAGCCATAAATGTCCAGGAGGATCTGATGGTATCGAACGGCCCAATGACAATAGTTGGGACCTGCACTGACCCAACGTTAAGTTACATTTTTAGCCCTCGGCCATGAAAGGCTGATGTGATATCGTCGTCATTATGCCAGGCAGGAGGTGGGCGACTGGAATACCCAAAGTTATGAATGCAATAACTCAAGAACGAAGCAAAGTAGGAGTTTTACACTGATCCCATTGGTGTATCTCTTAAAAATCTTGGAGTTTGATGAATCTCAGTGACCTTGACCTCAAAGTCAGGGGTCAGAGGTGCAATAATTCCAGATAACAATGCGATGTAGGATTTTGAAATCAATGCAGGGGCGTGCACATCAGGATATACCTCGGGTCACAGTGTCGGGTTTCAGGGGTGTGTGCGATTACATAGACACAGCTACAGCACAGATGTCCTGTTGAAGCATGAACATGTCAGCCTCTGACCTCTGACCTGAGATTTAACCTTGTTTGAGATTATTAGTGGATACACTCGTGGTATCAAATGCAAAGTGCTAGGTGACTTCTTTCAGGGTTATTGCATTCATGAGATTATCAGGAAACTTGACCTTTAAGTTTACCAACATATACAAAATATAAACAAATAAAAACAATATTGTAAAGTAATTAAAACAAAAAAAATGTATCAAGTTGATCCTTTGACTGCATTTGTTCATTTAAATGTCTAATCTGAGCTGAGACGTGACTGCTGCGCCACGCTGTCTTCATGGTGACTGACAGTGTTGTACAGTAATGTGAAAGGCAGGAGGCGGTGGTGGTTAAGTCTATGCTGCAGGTTTTACAGTGCAAGCTGCTGTATGTGGCATAAAACAAAGATCTCATTCATAAAAACATTTAATAAACATTTGGTCCATTTTAACATTTGTATCAATGTATCTACAACTATTGAAGTTTGGGCCGTTTGATGTTTTCCAGATCTGTCAAAGAACCGCCTGTGTGAGCTGCCAGAGGAGCTGTGTCAGTTCATCTCCCTGGAGACACTGAGCCTGTACCACAATGGGATGCGGTCCCTGTCCTCCAGCCTCAGCAACCTGCAGGCTCTCACCTACCTCAACCTCAGGTAACTCCTACACACCGCAACACGTGACTCTGATTACTGCACTGCATTGTTTAGCAGTAGCGTTGTATTCTGTTGTAGTAAGTAATGTTGTGACAAATGTAGACCTCCAACAGTTCTTAGAGCCGTGGTAATGGAAGAGCAGAGGTAACGCGCTTCTGTCGTAACGTCAGATGGAGGCCAGTCCTACTTCAAAAACAGTGAGAAACACTGTTACTGCAGCTGTTCTGCAGCAACATTTGAACATTTCTGGCAAAATTTAGCTTTGGTCCTGAACTATTTTAGGTGGACTGTTGGGCCACGTTCAGTCCAATAAAAATGCTGTTTTTGTTCATATAAAATGATACATTTTAAAAACAAACTTACTGAGTAGTCAGCAGTCATAGTTTGGTATCAGTGACACAAATAGTGATCATTCCATCTGTACACTGTTCATCCAGTCTATATAAAACAATCATGGGCTGATCACTAATCCAACTGTTGATAATAATCAGGGAGCACACAGTAGGCTGGTAGAACCAGGCGCTGGTTAGTGCAAAGGCAGCAGTCGGTAATCAGGTTCACCTCTGAGGCGAGCCTCTGTGTCTTAGTGTTTGTTAATGTGGGCCTGGACACTTTCATTTTGCTGTTGCTAGGAGACAAGGCGAACCCTCCAGGTTGTTGTTAGTTGGAGCAGGAAAAGTGCAGCTCACAGCAAACACACTGTGTAACGTAGTAAAGCATCTAACTGTGTTTGTGTGCAGTCCCAGGTCACACCTCCTAAACTGCATCACTCTCTCTGTGACTCCACAGTCGTAATCTCCTGTCCAGTTTACAGCCTTCGGTCTTTCAGCTCCCCCTCCTTCGAGTGCTCATCATCAGTAACAACAAGCTGTCTTCACTGCCCGCCTCCATATACTCCCTCACACAACTCAGACAGCTGGTACGACACACTCACACCATCATTTCTCCTTGAAATGTTCTGTTTGTACTGTGGAGGGTACAGTGGTACCCCTCACAGCATCCCTTTCACCTTCCTGTGATTCATGGTCAGACGTCCAGTCTTACAGTTTAATCACTGTCACATTTCTGTGTTGCAGTTTTCCTCTTGGTTTATTATAGTTTTTTCTCTCTCAGGATGTAAGCTGTAATGAACTTCAGCGTCTGCCAGCAGAGCTCGGGCAGTTGGAGTGTTTGAGAGACTTGAACCTAAGAAGGAACCGGCTCACCACGTTGCCTGAAGGTACAAATAAACTTGGAGCCCTTTGCCACTCATGCTTACTTGAAAATCCACAGTAGGAAAAGAGAGTGCTGAACAGGCCAATCAGAGAGGGAATGTAGATAATATAATATAGAAGTGAGTTCTTATTGGATCGACGTCCAGTGGTGAAGGAGTTGAGGTTTCAACTGTATGAAGTCAGTTTAATGTTTACGAAGCTCCAAGCCCGGAGCGACTGACTCTTACCCTCTCTGTTCCCCACACAGAAATATCCGAGCTGCCCCTCGTTAGGCTCGATGTCTCCTGCAACCGAGTTTCCCATCTGCCTTTGTGCTACCGTCACCTCAGGCATCTGCAAAGCATCTCACTGGATAGCAATCCACTGCAGATGCCACCAGCGCAGATCTGCTCCAAGGGCAAATACCACATCTTCAAGTACCTCAACATGGAGGCCTGTAAGAGGAGCCAAGAAGAGCTGGAGAAACACCTGAGACCCACTGGATTTAACAGCTGGTAAGGACAAAGGTCTAAGAGATAGTCAAGACTTCTTTAACTGGTTGGGTTAAGTCAGTGAAGACGCTGTGTGCAATTTCCTGCTGTAACAGTCAGATCCTAAGAACACGTGTGATGATACATATTTCTATGTGGAGGTGCTACGCCAGCGTGTTTGGATTGTCTGGATATTATAATCCTGTAAATTTACCTCTGAGTAACAAATACTTTGGAAGTTGATTTCCTAAGCGAGACAACAAAATAAAATGATACGACCAAGACACAAACTGTGGGATTTGGTAAATATAATAATAAATGCAGATTCACTGTGTAACTTTATTAGCAGCGTCCTCCTGAAATGCGCCAACAACATTTAGCGTAACTTCCTCCTCTGTGCCTCTTAATGCTTTAAACCCCAACCCCAATGTTCTCTGGTCGCTATGGTAACGCATAAATATTTCTTTCAAAATAAGACACACAACTGCAACACGAGAAAAGACCCAGGGAAGCCGAGTTAACGATAAAAACCCTGAAAACTGTCAATTTCACATCCAAACCTCAACTCTCGCGGCCCCGTACTGGTCCGTGGCCCGGGGGTTGGGCACCGCTCAGTATCCATCTACACTCAAATGAAAATAGTACCATTGTAAATCAATGCATTCCATTTAGCCGCCCAGTAACATTGTAGTACTTGAACCAAGGACAGAGATAAGAGGAGTAACTCTGCTGTGGGAAATCCACTCTAACACTGCACCAGAGCCTAAAAACATGAGTCACTGCCCTTTAGAGCGGCGCTCTTTCACAGTTTGCCCCGACTAACACAATGTTTGCTCTTCTTCATTTTAATGGGTGCTTATGGTGTTTTCCCTGCAGTCTGTCAGACCAGGAACTGTTTCCAGGTCAGTTAGGAGGGCTCGACTCTGGCTTCAACAGCGTTGACAGCGGCAGCAAACGATGGTCTGGGAACGAGGTAACGTTACAGGATACACACTGTCACATGTGACTGCATTATATATTCTTCTATTAATATCTATAATAGTGGATATAGAAATGCATTGTGTAGTATTAGATAAACAGATCAGTGTTTCACTGACATGTGCTGTGTGTTCAGTCTGCTGACGACTTCTCAGAGCGCTCCCTCCGCATGGCTGAGGTCAACAGAGACCAAAGTAACCTGGCGGAGGAAGAAGAGGAATCCAACAGAGGTGAGGAAAGAGGCACAGGCCATAAATCATTGTTTGTGCTGTGAGACGTGTTGAACACCATCGTACTCTTCACAGTGAATGGAAATGCGGAGCAGGTTGACTTCATTGACAGCAGTGTGACAGAGGAAGAGGACGACATCAGGACCAATACATCCACGCCTCCTTCGGTACCAGTCATCCTCACGCCGATCTGCAGCTGTCACGCAGTGTCGTGTCCTGTGTTTGTGTTGATTATGTTGACCGCGTATTGGTTTTTCAGGATCAGAAGGACAGATCGTCACCGTTGCAATCCCAGGAGTCAACAACATCCAGGTCAGTGGTGTGAAGCACAGTCAGAGTTTTGCATGGCTGTATCACCTGCAGTAGGTTCAAACCTCAGAGCGGAGGGTCTGCTCTGTAACACCACAAGCAGAAATCTGAATTCAAAATTAAAAGAGGAATATTGATTATCTGCACAAATCTCACCTCCCAAAGTGTAGCTGCAATACTTGCTTTGTGCAGCACAAAAGTTCTCCAGGTTAAATATGTTGCAGGTTCACACAACATGAATCCACTTCATACTGTATTATAACACTGGAACCCAGAGTGATACATGTTATTAGAAGAAACTTTAGGCCTTTAGTGTGATTGAGCAATGCTGATGCATAACTTTATATTCTGCACACTAAACAAAACAAGACTTGGCAAATATATTAAGACTGTTTGCATTTAGTTAGCTAAAAGCTAAAGCTTTGGTAGATGTTGGTGGTGGAAAGTGGTATTAAGGTGCAGTGGCTGATGTCTGTGGCGTAGAGAGTGAAGAGGCCCCCTGTGGTTCCCTGTGTTGCTGATCACCTGGTCAGACACGCAGTGTTGAAGACGCACATATTCTAGTCTTCCTGTCAGGTAATCAACAATCCAGGACGAGCGAGGCATCCACCTGCATCGCTGTCAGATCATCACCCAGCAGGTCTGTCTGATGCTGCTGAATGCACCAGGAAACTGAAACAACATGACGCTCACGCTCCTCTCCGGCTGGTCCAGGGCGTAGACTCGATTGAGTAGGTAGATCTGGTGTCCTCAGCTCTGGTGTCAGTCTAATGTCAGTCTTCAGTTCATCTTCAGTGTCGGCTTGTTATCTGGGTAACAATGGAGGGACAACAGAGTCTGTGCAGGAGGTTATGCACTCAGTGATACGCTGGGTGAGCCCACTGATGTCCTCACCGTGGGTCTCAGTGGGTGCTTGTCACCTCAAAACAGCCCTCTGACCACCTCCTGTGGTCACACTCTGCATCTTCACAGTAGGCACATAGAGCTGAAAGGAGGAGAAACTGTATGCCTCCCTGACATTAGCATGCAGTCGGTCCGTGGCACAGACCATGTCCTGTGTGAAGGGTGGAAGTGTCATGTCCAAGGTCACGTGGTTGAAGTCACCCGAGACAGCAATGGAGACGCCAGGGTGTAACCACGCTGTGGCCGAGTGGATAGTGTCACGTGCACTGTGGGTTAGTAGAGGAAGGAACATCCACAGTCACCAAGGTCACGTGGGTAAATTCACTTGCAAATGACACAACTCGAGTCCAGCAGCGCACAGTTCAGGCACGCAGTGGGCTCTGTGATGGAGATGTGAGCAGGGTTACACCAGCTGTTAACAAGAACAGCCTCTCTCCTTTCTGACGATCTGAGGGAATGTTTGACTCTGTGTGACGATTGTCGTGGACCTTTGCTCGCGCTGCCGTTGTGATAAAGCTCTTTGTATTTTATGCTGGTGGGTGAGGAAAACTGGAGCCATAGTGCCATGTGTGACTTTTTAAAATCAAATATTTGACATTGACGGGGTTTTGCTGTTTCTGATCTTGGACTTTTCCTACAGATTTCACTGGCTCAGCATGATGTTTGGGAAGTTCAGTCCAAAGACCTCTGCAAAGCTTTTGAGTTGTGGTTGAAGGGTCTGTCTGTGGTGGTATGTCCAATTCCAGTCAATCACCACAGGACCAGTCCATCCCAAGATGGGATGCTTGATGAAAGTCCGGGTCTGGAGGTATCAGACCCTTTCATACCTGTCACTTGTGCTCAGGGTGAACCTGTGGAAAGGACGGAGCACCGCTCCTGGACCTGTCAGGCCCCAGGGCAGGCAGTGAGCACAGGGCCCAAAGTCTGATTGTTGGTCAGAGACGGTCACGCTCGTGGCTTGCTGAAGGTCATTTTGTAGCTCATGGCACAAAGGAGCAGATCCTGGTAATGCTGTTGGGTTAAGCACATTCTCTGGCAATGTCAAGCTAGAGTTAGCTGTGTCCTTCATGCTTCTGAGACTGTGCTGGGAGGCAGCAAACCTTGTGTCAGTGGCACGTATTGATGTGCCGTCCTGGAGGAGTCGGACTACCTGTGCAGCCTCTGTATGATCCAGGTGTCAGCCAGTCAGCAGTAACACTGACCAAACTCAGCGGCTTTCACCTATAAAACCATTTTATTTATTTTGGACTTTGTCTCATTGTTGCTCCTGTTAGTTTAATTAATACCAGAGCAGCTCCTTAGATGACCAGATCAGTATCTCACATGTTGAACCGACTTGATGCCATTCTCTGATTAAAACGATGTTTGGAACAGCGTATGTGTTTTTCTTTTGTTTAGTTGTGCACGTTTAGCCCTCCGTATTTGCCCGACTTCCTTTGGATAAAGTAAAAGGTTCAAACGTCTGTGAATGTAAATCGTACGTAAACATCAGTAATGGGAAACATTTGGATATGAAAGTTTGTGTTGTTGAAGAGGAATCAGAGTTTAAATGTTGGAAGCTTCCTCTCAGAGAGTCCTAGTTTAGTTTGTATGTCAGCAGCGTCTCTAACAGACAAGCTGCCAGTGATAAGTAATAAGAAGTCCTGGAAGTCGGCTCACGAGCTTTGAAACAATCGGATAAAAAACTCTGATTGTATCCATTTTGTGTCTGTCACTCCCAGATCTAGCCTCCACATCGAGCTGGGCTCTTCATCTTCAGCCTCCTCGTCTCCTCTGTCCCCCTCCAGCCCCTCCCTAGAGGAGCGAAGGAGACCTGGTACCTTGTTTATCTGGCAGGAGAGAGAACGGCTTCAGCAGCAGCAAAAGGAGAAAGCAAGGTTGATACTGACGGAGATATTCTGCTTTTAGCGTCTGCACATTTCTTTTATTTTGAAGATGACTCGGCGTTTCTGCTTACCTTACGTGTCCCTCGAGTCAACGCTGTAACTGTGCTCTCATCTAATTATACGCTGTTGCCTGTCTTAACCTGTTATTTTGTAGTTCGCTGAAGTTCTCCACCAAAACAGGAAGTCATGTGGCCACTGCACAGCAGATGGGAAGTAGTTCATGGTAAGGATGGCGTGCAGATAAACTCACGTGAGGCCTGCCATAGAGACAGACGCCTGTTCAAAAATCTATGTTAAAGTGGTAACAAAGGGCTGAGGTTCTGCTGCTGATAGTGGCGTGTGTCTCTCTCTAGTGGTACATCACCAGAAAGCAGCAAAGCAGAGAATGGCACATCTGGCCTGCGACACAGATGTGCAGTGAGTACTGTCCTTGTCTTCAGTTCACTGAGGTAAACGGGTTTGTGTGTCTGCTGTTTTAAATCACACTTGTTTCTCCCTCAGAGCGCTGACCAAATGAGCACAGGCGCTCCTTCAGTCTCTCTGCAGCGATCGAGCAGCAAGACAGGTAACAAAGGAGAGAGAGTGTGTGTGGGTGGAATGTTTCACAATTACACGCTCTTTTAAATCCCACTGTGCAACATGTGCTGTAACACATCGAAGTGTAGTTCCTCAGAAGCGCACATTTCAGTGAAGCAATCAAGTCTTCCACATACGAGTGGTTGCAGTCACGCTTTGATGAAGAGGAGCCGTGTTGTAATTATGAAATATGTTCGATTCAGTTTGTATGTGTGTGTCATTTTGTGTTGTGATGTGAGTGAGAGTGCGTCTTTAACACTTTGCATTGTTGATGTTTGCATCAGATTTCCCGTCCTCCCCCAAGACGTCCCCTCCTCCTGGTCAGGCCCAGAAACCCAGCAGCTTCCTGTTTCGGACGTCCTCTCACAGCAGCGTCAAACCCACAGGTACCCAAAGAACACGCCACAGCGTCACTCCACAATCCACACACCTTTACACCTTTATTTACCTGTCTGCTTTCAGGGGCCATCTTTTCTCTTGGGGAGTCTGGCAGAAGCGAGTCTCGCACAACGCTGCGCTTGCCTAAAGAGGAAAGACCGGACATCACTCAGCTACGCAAGGTCAGCCCCACAGACCAACACTTCCTCGTGATCTAAACGGGAAACTGGACGCTTGGTGTCACAGTCAGGCTCCTCATAGGACGAACTAATAAGAGTTGTGTTAGTGTCATGGCACCTGAGTGGGGTCTACTTTAAACCATGACGCTCTGTGTCCTTAATCAGACTCTAGAGTCCCGGCTGAAGATCACTCTACCAGAGGATATGGGTGAAGCTCTGGCCAATGGCACCATCCTCTGCCAGCTGGTGAATCACATCCGCCCACGCTCTGTGTCCATCATCCACATTCCTTCCCCAGCGGTGGTGAGTCTGGAAGCCTTGAAACGAAATATGACGCTGCTGTTAGCAGTAGAGTCTGTATGACTCACCTGGTCATTGTCCACTCACCTGTCGGTCGCGTCACCTTTCTTTGTAAAACAAGCAGTTTGTGAGAGCTGCAGCGCGTCTGTGCAGATAAAGTCAGCTCGCTATGATCAGAAACACGAAGTGCTCCTACAGGCAGAACGATTCATGTCACAACTAACACTGCTGTTACATATTTGTAGCGTCTTCCTACTTCCTTCTCAGATTTCACATTAAAAGCTTCCAGAAGATGTTGAATGTGAAACAGCAAAGAGAGTGTAAAAGTACAGCTGCAGCTTCCTGCTGTGATGGAGAATAACTCGTGTGTGTGTGTGTGTGTGTGTGTGTGTGTGTGTGTGTGTGTGTGTGTGTGTGTGTGTGGGTGGTTCGCAGCCCAAACTGAGCCTGGCAAAGTGTCGACTCAACGTGGAAAACTTTGTCGCCGCCTGTCGCCGGCTGGGAGTCCCCGAGGTAACGTGTGCATGTCCCGACGCTGTCCTGGTGTAGTCTGCTGTGATGACAGTGCTTTGAATCAAGTCTAAATCTGCTTTTTGCTGTTCTGCCCTTTGTCCTGTCGTCTCTGATGTCCTAGCTTTAACAATATAACTACTCATATTGTCTTTCTGTGCGTTTGCGTGCGTGTGTGTCCTCTCCTGTCCAGACTGAAGTGTGTGTGTGCTCTGATGTGCTTCTGTGTAAGCTGCCCAATGTGCTGCGCTGTGTGACAGCCCTGCTGGCCGTGGAGGGGGAGGAGAAGGACCGGCCCCGCCTCCACTCCTCGCCTGAGGCTTCGTCGTCCTCCACCTCGCTGCTGTCCGCAGACTTCTTGCTCTTCTACTGTGCAGTCATGGCGCTGCTCTACGTCCTCTACTGCTACCTGCTCCCTTAAAGCAACGACATGTGACACGGAGTACGTTCGCCATAGCAACAGGCTGTTAGCATAGAAAGCAAACGGTGCTCGTGTTGTAAGACCTGTAAGTGTGCTGCTTTGTACTGGTGACTGAACAGAAGCGCTCCGTGATGATTGTCTGTGTCACAGCTGCCTGCACCATCACCAACCATCTCCTGGAAGTTCATTTAAACCTGGGTCGCTCCATTAGTGACAAGTGAAAGGTAACTGCTATCTGTCCTGATGACACTGGTTATACTGGTGGAAGTCTGAGGGAAACGGAGCCCAGCTGTTCTGTGTATTTGAAATCTCAGGTTAACCAAGTGTCTCATTAGACATGCAGGAGGATGTTCCAGCTCACAGAGAGAAGCTGTGACCAAGTCTCACTGTGTGTATTTGTGTTGTTGGGCTCGATGCTTTGCATGATTCACAGTTCCTGATGTTTCCTACGCTGGCCCTTGCTGCAGCCCTCTCCCCTCCAGATAATCCTCGCTCTTAGCCAGTCTGTCTGATTAGCTGTACCTGACAGGTGGGCGGGGCCTCTATGCCTGACACACCCATCTAAGGGATCTCTGCTTTTGCTGACCTCGTGAGGAGCTCATAGAGAGCATCTGCACCTCATTATTTAATACAAGAATACACAAAATAAAGGATAATGTTTCCGTCTTAAGCGCTCATGTTGTGATGTTTCCTGATGTGAGCGAGTGAAACATGCCTGCGCTTCAGCAGGGGGCGCCGTTACTGCCTCAGACCTGAGGTTCAAACCCCTCCAGGACGCTCTCTGTGTCAGCTCCATTACTGTCAATGGTCTGTTTGACCAATCACGGTTAACCCGGACTCTAACCTGTCTGTATAAATGTAAACAGGTCATTAAATTATTGCTTTATTTATTTTGTTTTATGTTTGGTTGTCTCGGTGAAACAAGTCCAACATCTTAGTGGTTTTAAAACTTTGTGAGATTAGTGTGCGCACTTTAAGTCACTAGCAGGTCAATTAGATGTATCCAGGTAAAATAACCCTGTTACAAAGTTTCCTTTGGAGATTCACAGATGTGATTGGCTCAGCGTGGAAACTTTGCTGTTTCTACTCAGGTCCAGTGTGTGCAACCAACATGACACACTCGTTACTGCAGCTGTTTAACCCGCAGGACGAGACATTTGGGAGATTCAGGCTACATTCAGTGTTTGAGCAAATATTCAAACATCTGAAACTCTGAGTGTAAGCGATAGGATTTCACTGGGAGAAATAGGAAATGAAAACGGTTTCCTTTTAGCTTCATACATGTCGTCACTTCAACTTCCTTAAAAAAGTTGCTGTGCTTCCTTTCATGTGATGAGCCCTGATTAAAAGTCCCTCTGTGTAACTCTGGGCTTTCTTTATGTGCTGACTTTATTATTTCTATAACTTTCTGTTTGGCTTTACAGCAGTGTCCTTGCTAAGTGAGTGAGTGTGCACATCACCACAGCCTGGTGTTGATCTCACCTCAGACCTTCTCGTCTTCCACTTTAAGGAACTCTGAGGAGCCGGTTTAGCCCGTCAGCGTGGTGTAAACTTCCTGTGATGTCACTCTGCTGAGACACAGTTTGTTGTTTATTCATGATGAGTTTGGCACTGCTGTTAGACGTAACAGCAACTGAATCAGCCCGCTGACTAAAATGGGACATTATTCATGTAAAAACCATTGATTTAAAGACGATGGCTCTTTTTACAAACGATTCATTTCCATCACTGTTGTTGTTGTGGGACTAAAACTAGACGCTGCAGTCTGGCTTTTGGCTTCAGGGCCACTTTACCTAAAGGCTGCTTCAGTCTATCAGCTGTATGTTGTGGGCCAGCTGATTGGATCAGTTTATATAAATGGCACCAAATATGAAGCGACAGTAGCTGCCTCGAGCCTTTAATCTGACGAGATGAGAGAGCAGCACGGCTCAGAGCGGCGAGCAGCGCCTTCCTGTTACACGTGTCTATTGTTTCATATGAACTTTGGTTATCCCAGACTTACATGGGTCCACCTGTAATTCTCTATGTAAATAGATTATGGGCTCATTTACATGTAACACACTGCATTCATCATTATTATTTAATGTGAAGCACTCGGTACCTGAATCAGAAGCTATTGTAAATTTAGTTGTGTAACAAACGTCTAAACAAACAGTAAGTGTGCACATTTGTGTGTGAGCACTTACTTCTGTGCTGTAACTGTGCTGCTTGGCAGGAGCCGCTGTTTCCCCTTAAATGTGCCACATTTGTGAGGAAATAACAGGACAAACTTGCCAGACCTTCTCTGCTGATGCCAAACAGCTTATTCTGCTTGTTGGATTGAAACACGACTCATCGGCCTGTGGAAGAACCGTACGCAGGTACAGCAGCCTGGGTTCATGCAGGTCACACACTGCGGTTGGACGGCCTCTGACCAGCATGTGTCACAAGTCAACTGGTGTGATTGTGTTGGTTAGTCTGGGACAAACAGGCTGATCCTAGGAGTGTTTGATGGGACTGAGGTCAGCACTGTGGCTAGGCTATTCCAACCTCACCGTCCCCAAACTCTGAACAGAGCACCTTTGGCGCATCTCCCACCAAAGGTGCTTTCTTACCTCATCAGGTAAGAGTCCCGTTATGTCACCTCCACACTTTGACCTGTTCAGGCTCCAGTCAGCACCTGACTGTCAGCACCACATGGTCAGCGTAAGAGTGTCAGAATAGGCTGCTTGGTGCTGACAGAGAAGCTGTGGCAGGTTTTCATGGTGAAGGACGCGCTGTGTGAGAACAGACGCCTCGTTGCAACAAACAGCGTTTCCTTACTTTCTGTTTAAAGCTTATTTAACAATTCTCACTTTCTGGAGTTCCTGTTTCAACAGGTTCTTCTGAAGGAAATTTTATTGTATTTATTGTTTTATGGTGTTTAAATTTCTATTTTTGTAGTGGTTACAGACCAATGACCGAGCAAAATCAAGGACACAAGTGTTTATTTCAGTTTAGACATGATATATGGAGTAGGTGCAAGTGATAGTTGTAGAAGCTGAGCTCCATTCATGATGGCGATGTTGGCTCTGCTCCGCCCCCTCAGTGTGAGTGCAGTGGGATTGATTGGCTCTGGTGTGAGGACGCTGTTTTATACTGATTTAGATTTTTGTCCATTGTAAAACCAAAATAACTGCTTCTTATATCTGACAGTTTTATGAGCACTCTGCTGTTGTTTCAGCTCAGATGTATATTTTTGTAGGTCAAACTGGACGAACACTAACTGATAAAATCCACAATGATGCAGACATATTCTTTAATGTTAGTCCAAATGCATTTGTATTGTATATTTCTACACCTTTTACTAACGAGGATGATTTTTGACTCTTTGTCTGTTGTAATTAAATGATTTCAAAAGAACTTTTTGGTGCTTCTCTGCTGTGTTTGCTTTGCTGCTGTTGTCTTCCTGCAGCTTCAGTGTCTCATTTTGTGAAGCTTACATGCGTCCACCTCGCCTCCTGAAACTGTCTCATCTGTCTTCATTGTCGACCCGTCATGTGTGAGTTGTGACAAACCATCAAACTAATATCAAAACTGCTAATGAGTCTGAAACCTCTCGGTTCAGTTTTTTCTGTTAGAAGAACAAAAACCTTTCAGAGTTTCTATAATACAGTGACAGCAGCATCTGTATTTCAAACCCATTTAAACACCTGCATTAGTCCTGAGGCAGCTCGTGCTCACACAGGTAAGTACACACAGTCAAATGCATCATCTTCAGTAAAGAATGAATACGTCAGTAAAAGTCATGCTCTGGTATTCAGGGGAACATTTGCACTGTGATGTAGCTGCATCCTCTCATTAAGTGACAGGACTCCTTGGTTTTGTCTCATTAGCAAAGTTTTTCAAATCTGATCAAACCACACTTAGAAATATGCAGCATTATCAAAGTTATAAAGCTGGACATACCCTGTTACTTTGATATTAATGAGTGACTGCTTACTGGTGAATGTGTAGAAGTGTATGTTTCTTACTTGGATCTACTTCCTGCTCTTTCCGTCCCCTTCCAGGATTCTTTGTGTTCACCTCAACTCATCATGGAGGACGAAGGCCTGAGTCGGTTGGCCCAGACTGTCCAGACGTTGTCCGATCTGGCAGACCAGCGAGCCCCAAAAACATGAAACCTTTGTGGCTGCTAGCTCAAAGCAGTCTCGGCACCCCAGTGCCACGCCAGCAGTATCTCAGGGCCAGTGTTTTATTTTTATATGCTTCATATTTGATCAACTTTACAGAGTTTGTATTAAGAACAGCTTTCAAATTTCATAAAAAAGGTAACGGTTCAAATAGATCTGTAAATCACTCAAGCGCTCGTTGTATCCGTACCATTTTAGAGAGTCTGACGTTTTTGTGTACCTGTAGTCGTACTGCAGTGAGTTCAAAACAAACACAAGTGGTTAATGAACAATAAAAAATATATCAAAGCTACAATTTGTTGATGTGAGCGATGGAAAACGGTTTCTATGACTTGAAATATGAACTGCGAAGGATGCAAGTCGTCAGTTCAGCAGGAACCAGCAAGCTGCTCTCACTGCCAAGCACGCTGGGAGGGTAAGTTCAGCTGAACATTATCAGTGAGTTGCTGTTCTCTGCAGCTCAATATTCAGTCCTGACAGCACAGTAAACAATAACTTGATGTCACTGCTTTCGCCTCAGAGTTCAGTTTGAATGAATGTGGGTCACTCGACGCGTTCCATCTTCTAACCGTAGACATGGACAGAACCTGTTGCGTGTGAATCTGGTTTCCTTTAGTTCCATGATGGTCTGCACGGCCTGGAGCAGACCAACAATGAAAGAATCACCTGAATAATTTCTAATGGTTCTGTTTGCACAGCAGCTCTAGGACCAAAGGCTTGTGCCATCCCTTATTTCTTTATTTTGCCAAAAAAAAAGCATATGAAGTGATTTATTGCAATGTGCAAACATAAATGGGCAGTACATATGGAAAAAAGATTCTAAAGATAAATTATACAGCCTGACTTTTTTTTGCTATTACAAAGGCTGTCTGCAATGTGTAGACATAATAATGGTTCATCCCCTGGGAGCAGACCAAAAGTGGCAAAACAAGCAGGAAACCGGTAAACGTTGAAGTCCGAGTTTGAGTCTTTCCAACCGCTATACCACACCATACCACGTGGGGGCGGTATAGTGCCTAACAGCTAATGGCCAATCGTCTTCAAACACAAGAAGAAGAGAGGAAGCGGAGGGAGAGTGTGGAAACAGCTACCCCACACTTGACTTCATTGAATGAGATTCAACATCAATTAGCGTTTGTTTTGGGTCAGTGTTGTGCACACAGAATACGCTCACATTCTGTCAGAAGAACGCGGATAGAGATTTCTACACCCCTACAGATCAAGGGTAAGCATGCAGTGGCAACATTTAGCTAGGAAACAAACACACACTGGGCGGTTTATTTTTCTGCTAGCATGGTATCTGCCTACAGTCCGCTTAGCTAGCTGAGGACAACATGGTTATAGCTCAAAGGTTAGCCCGCACACTCAACAGATAATTAAAGAACTCGGCAAATTTGAATAACTTCACCTTATTCCTTATGTTCGTGTTGATGCTTTGGTTGTCAATAGTCATGATATATTATAATAAAAAGGAGTTTGCAGTTGGTGTGAGCTTTATTCAGTCTAATTTGATGAAACAACGGTAAGCTAGCTATTAGCATTCACGAGATAGCATTGGTGTAGACTATTTCCTGCAGAAGTGTTCATAATGGAAGAGTTTTATTGAGAAGAGGATTTATTTGGTAATTTATTTTTTTAATCCTGCACGTAAACAGTTAAGTCCATAACTACGTGTAGTTCCTGTCGCTTTTTGTCAATGCCGCTGTCATCACACAGTGGACGGAGTGAAGCTAGCAAGACAAACTGCAGGACTAACATCAGTGAGCAGGATAAGTGAAGCAGCGTGGAGGCACCGGGACGTGTATTCTGTCTGTGTAGCAAAGCCTGTGGCTGCCCACTGAAACGGTCCCACGCGTTAGTTGTAAAATTACGGCGTGGGGGTTTTAGGTCATTATTACTGCCTTTATATTCCTAGTAGTTGTTTTGTAATAATTGTGCCAAAATTAGCTTCAGTACTTCGTAACAACAAGTCAAGACTATGTAACGGCTTGTTTACATTCCAAGTGTTCAGTAAGATTAGAAAAGCGCTGCCATGTCAAATTAATGAAATTTACTAATACTTCTACTTTTTATTGAACCATAGGCTTTCATTCGTGTGAAGTTGTCTTTTATAGGCTACTTATGAATATGTTTTGTAACCACCCAGTTCTTATTTTATTGTAAGACATGGCGGGTCCACGGTAGCCCTAAAGTGTTAGAGACTCCCCTACAAAATACAATATCCCAGGCTATCCCAGGGTCCTGAGTGTCCTGTACTGCCTATGGAGCACTGTCTCAGTGTTGGATCTATGCTGAATCAGATCAACTCATGTATAAATGCTGTGAAAACACTCAACTGCATATCGTTGTAATTTACAAACTAGAATAATCTGCATGGAAATGTGTACTTTCATCTTTACATTTTGGTATATAACACTGCATCTCTATGAAGCAAAGTGATTCATAGAGTTTTCTTTTTGTCACTTAAAAATCCAAACAGACAGAAGCAGCTACTGTGTTATTCTGATGTCCACTGTGGACTTCATGAACTGACTGTATTCTCTCCCACCGTTGCAGACTGTGTTTGTTTGTAGGTGACGAGCTGGCGCAGGTTGTGGGTTTTTCTTGGATAATGCGAGACAGTGGTGGTAGCCTAGCCCAGAACCGCTGGCAGAGAGACCTGGGTCTGACCGCTGTGGGGCAGAACGACACAGGAGGAGGTTAGCACTCACTGTTTGTGTGTAAAATATTTACCCCCCAGTAGGGTGGACGTTCAGACCACTGGGTCAGGCATCTGTGGAAACCCTAAGAGGTTGATGGACACGAGGTCACTTCCATTTTTGAAATGAAATGTCACAACACACAACACTTAAAAGTAAAGAGGAACAACTTTACGGAGTTACTTGTGGCCTTCATCAGGGTCATCATCACCCTGATGACGTGTTGCTGGAGTCCCTGCACTGACTTTCTCATCCTCTCTGTGCCCCTGAAGTTAAATGTCGGTGATAAATGAGTGAATATTCAACAACAGTGTGGTGTAGGTTTATAAAACTTGCCTCAATTTGTTTTCCTTTTTCTTTATTGTGTCTCATGTATGTTTTAAGAACTTGCTTTTTATGCCATTTAAAAAAAATCGATCTAGTAACCAGTGAAGTCCAGCAGTGAGCTGTGGCCCTCAGGGGCCCCAGAAAGTCTTTGATTTCAAAGTCTTCATCAGGGGTGGGGAACTCCAGGCCTCGAGGGCCTGTGTCCTGCAGGTTTAGATGTGTCAGCTGATTTAAATGACCTCCTCAACATGTCTTGAAGTTCTCCAGAGGCCTGTGAATGAACTCGTTTGATTCAGGTGTGTTGACCCAGTGTGAGGTCTAAAACCTGCAGGACCTGAGGCCTGGAGTTCCCCACCCCCGATCTACTTGGTATCTAAAACGTGGACGTGGGTGGTGTGTGAAACCAGCATGCAGCTTAGGTTTCCCACCAGGATATTTCATTCATTTCATCGGGGATGGAGTGATCACAGCACACATCGATACCTTAATAAACACGGACTGAATGTATGCACACATGCTCTCATCTTATTATAACTGCTGCTTTTCTATAGTGTCTTTAAGCTCTTTTTGGTGATCATACAACAAACACTAATCAGACTCTGGTAGTCTCTCTTTGCCAGGATACAAAGGATGTCGGATTAACCGATACTAAACACACAGACGAATGATTGAATGTGTTCCCAGGCAGAACGTTTCCTCGTGGTTTTGCAGGGTCGACCCAAATTTGGACGTACTTTTCCAGATTTCGATTTTGACAAGATCCCCAACGTCACTGAGTGAAATTAGGCCAAAAACCAAACCTCCAAAAATAAAAAATTAATGATGTCCCAAGGAAAACTGAAGCAGCAGCTAGAGCTGTTACTTAAGGCTGTGTTCAAATATTCAAAGTAAGCCTGAGGGGGTGACTCAAGGCCTTTGGACAGCACTGTGGGGTAGATGTTATTTTTTAGTGAAATGAAGACGATACGATGCTTTTTTTAATGTGTCAGAGGTCCATGCTCACTACAAATGGGATAGTTTGGCCTGTTGGTAGGTGGTTGCTAAGTAATGTGATACAGATAAGTACAGATAAGTGTGCCTTGTTTATATTGTGTAGGAAGAGCTCATAGATACATTGTTACCTGTTGTAATGAGCTGCAGCAGTACTTTTGGGCTGTCGTGATGCCTGATTGGTCGATAATCACTGCTGTTTGTTTCATAGGTG